CGGCCGGCACCAGCCTGGGGCGGCCGCTCGGTGGCGGAGTTCCCGTGTTACCCCCAGGCTATGATAGGGCGCGCTGCTCCACTCGCGCTCACTGATTGGGCGGCAGGACAGTCTGTTCCCGCTCCGCCTCCCTATTGACCCGCTTGGCCTCCGTTGGTCGCGCTTCCAACCCCGCAGCGGACCTCGCCGCCGCTCGCAGGTCCGTCTCTCCCAGACGCTGAGGTCCCGAAAACCCATGCCGGCCCCGCAGCTGCCCTCTCCTCCCACCCATCTCGCCGAGGGCGAGGGAAGCAGGACTCCCGCGGCACAGCTGTGTTACCAAGAAGTGTTTTATTTTTCTTGCAGTAGCTTTGTTAATTGCACAAAATCATGTTTTGTTTTTGCCATTTAAACATTATCACACAATCCTATCCTGAAAGACAAATGTTCATTAAAAACAAAGCAAAAATAAAAATTCACAACCTTAATTACCTAGATTTGTCATTTAAAGGTTTAAAGAAAAAAAGGGAGGGGCTTTCATACAAGCTTTTTCACAAGTGTCACATTTTCTCCTTAAAAGGGAAGGATTTCAAAACAAAGGTGAAATAGCTTAAACAGAAATATTCATAAAAAGGAATTTTACAGAATTGTCAACAATATTAAGACAACATTGACTAACCGGTTTCATTACCGCATCTTCCCCCGCCCCCACCCCCAGTGTGTCCTGCCAGGACTAGAACAGGCTTTGTGTTCAGACAGAAATGCTTCAAAATCCCAGTGAAATGAACTGTGCTAAAAACCCGACAGGCATCTTCCCTGCCCCCCCCACCTCATCTTCTGCAATCCTCTAACCCAGGTTCTATCTGTGAAAGGGGCCAAAGCTGTGAGGGGGAAGGACCCCACCCCAGTGTGGCTGCCTTATATATATATATTCCATCATAAATGCTGGCCTTCCTTCTGCAAATTATGATTTTGGAAAATCCAACCCATGCAGAGGGATAAAAAACTGACATCCCTTGGGTGACTTGTTTTTTTGCATCATCCCAAGCCCCCCATGGTCCCCCATCCAAGGAGATATGTAGGGCCTCGAGGATGTCCCAGACCCACCTCGGAGGGCCAGTCAGTTCAGGTAGGTCAGGCCCAGTTCTCTTCCCTCCCGACAGACCCCGGGCCCGGGCAGCACCGAAGACCATGATGCTGGCTGGAGTGAAGACACTCGTTCCGTATCAAGAGCTGAGCCTAAGAAATGCTCATCGCTGGTCAGGCTGGGTCTGGGCCAAAGAAGGGGCAGACAGAAAGAAATACTGTCTCCACAGGAGGAAGAGGGCAAGGAGGGAGGATGGAGAGTGGTGGGCATGCAGGGGACTTGGCAGGGCAGACTGGAGAAGGGGGGACCACTGGGAGGGGAACGAGGTCAGAGTGGCTCTTCAGAGCCAGGTGAAGAGTCTGTGGCCTAACGGAAACAGGAAGGAGCGCCCCCAACCCCCACTCCTCATGGCTCATCACTAGTGGCCCTGAGGACCCCCTCCCAAGAGCTGGAATGCAAATCCAAATACTAGAACAGCCCAGGGAGGAGCGCCGTGGCAGTGGCGTCTGGGGCGTGGCTTCGAGGCGGTGAGGGCCGGACCTCCAAGCTCACCTGCAGGCCGGGTGCTTGCTGCACTCCCTGGAAAGCCAGGGCCCCATCTTCTCGGGACTCTGCCAATCTCTTTTCAGTTCACAAATGTGTCTATGGAGCGCTGGGTGCACACTGGACGCTCAGACGTGAACATCTTTCTCAGCTCATCACCTGAGGTTGGAGGGCCCCAAGGGACCCTCTGTCTGGAGTCTGTACTGGCTCATCTGGGCCCGAGGCCTCTCCTTGCAGGGAATCCAGTGGGGATGTGGACGTGACTACAGCCTCTTCGCTCTGGGGAAAGCTGTGGGAAGGCTTCCAACTCTCGTTGCTGATTCTAGTTCCTTGACTGGAAGGGGTTTGAGATAAGACAAGCTCGGAAGAAAAAAAGCCAGGCAGCAGTTTCTGGGCAGCTTCTATCCAGGGGCGAGTCTGTGTGTGTGTGTGTTTGTGTGTGTGTGAACACACAGCCACCTTGTCCGGGGGCCAGTGCCCAGCTCAAGAGCTTTCCCATAAGCCAATCCTGCTGACACTCGTCCCCTCCCCACCGGCCTCAGGGGAAGGCTGCTGCTGTGTGCTGTGCTGATGGCAAGTCTCAAAGTCTGTATAAAAGGAAATGGAGACAGGTGGGCTGGTCCAGAATGAAGTCCCAGGCCCCCGACCCAATGTGAGGAAGAAGGGGTCAGAGGGGGGATTGGAGGGGTGGGGGCGGGGTGTCGACAGCTTAGTGTATATAGGCTCGGTACACGGCGGACATATCGTTGTCGGACTGGTCCAGCGCCTTGGCTCTTTTGTACACCTGGAAAAAAAAGAGATGGCTCAGTCTCTGGCCCCAGAGCTGCCTTCAAGACCTAGATCTGATTCCTGGAGGCAGTGCCGGATGAGGCTAGCAGGCAATGCTGGAGCCCAGGCTGTCTAGGTAGGAATCCTGTTTTGACCTTGCACGAAGCACCTGTTTCTCTGGGCCCCAGCCACTGTGCTTCTTGCTCTGGGAGAGGGAATAGTACCCAGGGGTTCTTGTGAGAATGACGTGTACTATGGGATATAAAGCACTCAGCATTGGCCGGGCACTGCGCCTCATGTCTGTAAGGCCGAGGTGGGTGGATCACCTGAGGTTAGGAGTTCGAGACCAGCCAGGCCAAAAAGGTGAAACCCCATCTCTAATAAAAATATAAAAATTAGGGCCAGGTACAGTGGCTCATGCCTGTAACCCCAGCACTTTGGGAGGCCGAGGTGGGCAGATCACAAGGTCAGGAGATCGAGAGCAGCCTGGCTACCATGGTGAAACCCCATCTCTACTAAAAAAAAAACACAAAAAACTAGCCGGGCATGGTGGCCTGTAATCCCAGCTACTCAGAAGGCTGAGGCGGGAGAATAGCTTGAACCTGGGACGCGGAAGTTGCGGTGAGCTGAGCTCGCACCACTGCACTTCAGCCTGGGTGACAGAGCGAGACTCC